CACCCTCTCACATACCCCGATGTGCATGCGTCCACCCTCTCACATACCCCGATGTGCATGCGTCCACCCTCTCACATACCCCGATGTGCATGCGTCCACCCTCTCACATACCCCGATGTGCATGCGTCCACCCTCTCACATACCCCGATGTGCATGCGTCCACCCTCTCACATACCCCGATGTGCATGTGTCCACCCTCCCACATACCCCGATGTGCATGTGTCCACCCTCCCACATACCCCGATGTGCATGTGTCCACCCTCCCACATACCCCGATGTGCATGCGTCCACCCTCTCACATACCCCGATGTGCATGCGTCCACCCTCTCACATACCCCGATGTGCATGTGTCCACCCTCCCACATACCCCGATGTGCATGCGTCCACCCTCTCACATACCCCGATGTGCATGTGTCCACCCTCCCACATACCCCGATGTGCATGCGTCCACCCTCTCACATACCCCGATGTGCATGCGTCCACCCTCTCACATACCCCGATGTGCATGCGTCCACCCTCTCACATACCCCGATGTGCATGCGTCCACCCTCTCACATACCCCGATGTGCATGCGTCCACCCTCTCACATACCCCGATGTGCATGCGTCCACCCTCTCACATACCCCGATGTGCATGCGTCCACCCTCTCACATACCCCGATGTGCATGCGTCCACCCTCTCACATACCCCGATGTGCATGCGTCCACCCTCTCACATACCCCGATGTGCATGCGTCCACCCTCTCACATACCCCGATGTGCATGCGTCCACCCTCTCACATACCCCGATGTGCATGCGTCCACCCTCTCACATACCCCGATGTGCATGCGTCCACCCTCTCACATACCCCGATGTGCATGCGTCCACCCTCTCACATACCCCGATGTGCATGCGTCCACCCTCTCACATACCCCGATGTGCATGCGTCCACCCTCTCACATACCCCGATGTGCATGCGTCCACCCTCTCACATACCCCGATGTGCATGCGTCCACCCTCTCACATACCCCGATGTGCATGCGTCCACCCTCTCACATACCCCGATGTGCATGCGTCCACCCTCTCACATACCCCGATGTGCATGCGTCCACCCTCTCACATACCCCGATGTGCATGTGTTCGCTCCACCGCCGCATCTTCTCCTCCAGGCGCGGCCACGGGGTGCTCTGGATCTCCGCCTTGGTCACCTGCTGCACGCCCAGCCGCTGGAAGTTGCGCTTCAGCGCCGCCTCCCGCATCTCGCTGCTCCGTTGGCGGAAGGAGCGCGGCGGGGAACACGGGAAGGCAGAAAATGGGGTGGGTAGGGGGTGGGGGGGAAGGGGAAGGAGAAAGAAAGGGGAAGAGGGGGGGGTTGGGGGAGGGGAGGGAGAGGCGTGGGTGAGTGGGGGGGAGTGGATGGGAAGGGGAGGAAAATGAGAATTCTCTAGGTCACTTGCTGCACGCCCATCCGGTGAAAGCTGCGCTTCAACGCCGCCTCCTGCATCGCGCTGGCGGAAGAAGGCGGGCGAAAGCGAACGACGGGGAGAGGGTCAATCAAAACGAAAACGTAGGCGAGAGAATAAGGTGCTGCTGGTTGATACCGGCTGCATGCATAACTACTGTAAGTTAACGTCAATAAACGGAGCAGTCATCTGCAGGTAAGTTGGCCGGAGACTGGATGATATGACAGCCAAAAACTTATTGTAAGGCACCTAAGTAGGGACGTGCAGGTAAGTTGGCGGGGGACTGTACAACTGAGATAAACTTTTTAGAAGGGGTTTCAAAAGTAGTCATGTGCCTCGATAGGCCTGAAAATAGCTGTTCACTCACTAATGCCCTCCACAGGCGGAATACTGTTTTAGCGGGAAGAAGAGGTTATAAACCTCTCAAAACCCGTGAAGAACTCCGCGGAGAAACAAGCAAACCATTTATTCGGCCCATTGCTTACTCACCGGTACATTTTGCAACAGTCTGGCGCGCAGTCATTATCGATCAACCGCTGCGCCATGGCATGTAGTTTCGGAATAGCTGCGGCCTCCACCATCTCCGGCGGTGATATATGGTCAGGTGATTCCTCAGATAGCATCGCCTCCCTCAACTCGTCTAGGTTTGGGAACAAACTGGAAAGTCACACGGGATAACGCGGGTTACAAGAGTTGAGGAGAGTAACCGGGATAAGCGAAATGGAAGACCGGAGCGATTATTGACGTGCAAGGTTACGAGAACGGACGAAACCAGCTTTACTGGTCCATCAACAGGATGTCCTGATCCGCGTGAATTGACTAAGAGCTTTCACCCGGAAAGTAAACGAATTCCTGTGCGTCGTGATGTAAAAAAATAATATATATACTTTTTAAGAAGTTTTAACCACCTCCTGGTGCTATTGATGTACGCTTCTTGCGCTAAAAGAGCGACTTCGTCCTGAGAAATGCAATTAAATTCAGTTGGTGAAGCTACCTGCTGTTGGATAGCAGCTTGCTGAAGTCTTGCTTGACATTCTCCATGGCCTTGGCAATGAGGTACCGGCCGTTTCTTAGCTCCTCCTCTATAAACCGCACTGCACCGTGCAGCCGATCTATGGCCTCCAAATACGCGTAGTACGAGTTGTTGCTGTTTCCAGGACCCCCCATGATAACGGACCGAACCTGAACCGAAAGCGAGCAACGCGATAGAAGTCGAGGAAGAATAGGCAACTTTAAAGAGCGCAACGCTTATCACAGCTGGTACCGGAAATAGACAACTTTAAGCACCATAAAACGGACGAAATGCTGTAAGTCACGGAATGATGTATTTACCTGATTAGGGACCTCGATGTGGGACAGAAGCGCCACCGGGTCTGACATCGGAATGATCGGCTCATCGTCCATGGCTCCTAATGTGCTGTCGACTATTTCGGTACTTCCTATTGAACTTATCCAGGTGTTCCTACACCGTGAGAAACACGGCCAGGAAACGTCTACGGTCGTTTAAAATGACGGAAACGGCAGTTAACAACCTTTTCAAAATAACATGGTGATCACGCCGTCAGTAGTTCTTTTGTCCGCTGGAAACGGGGTGCTACGAGTACTTTTCGCATACTTTCTAGTATCTGATAACGACGCAAGATAAGTTAACCGGGTCAATCTACAAAGGAGCAGAGGTGACGTTTACCCTAAACCAGGGAAATGCACGTGCGAAGCCAGTCTTACCCAGATACAGGCATCCATATGAGACAAACAGATTAGCAAACTATACTAAGCCAGCAGCTACAACGAACCGAACCTCAAGATAAGGACACCAGCCGTAGCCTGATGCACGTTCTACAAGATAAGTGTGGAAGTGCGAGACTGACTGAAAGCAAATGAGGAAAAGTTTTTTTTCAATTTGACCTACATATTGCCAGTCCCAGTCTCACAAGCTTCCCATCCATTCTCTAGGAGTCTTGAACCACCTCTTTGATGTGGGCGGGTGGGTATCTGTTGGTTTCAGTCTGACTATCACGAGTGGTTGGGTTTGATACAGTATGGTAACACAGCGGTCAGGACCAAGGTCCCCTTCGAACCTTCCATGCTCCAACAAACCTGCCCGTATTGTTGAGCAGATTCGCCACACCACTGCGGGTCATGGAGGTCGAACTTTTCTATGTGGGGGACTCTGGGTTATCAGGCACTCTTTCTGCCCCACGAACGGGCAGGCTCGGAAATATTCATGAGGATGACAACTCCGCCGTCGTTGGTGTCTTTCGCCGAATATATCTCAGCGGACAAGCGAGTCCGCCCGGGGGAGCTCGCTGCCCGCGGGCAAAAAAAATAAACCCCATTCGGGCATGCATCCGGTCAGGGAGGCATCAACCCTAAACACGGGGAAGCATGGATTTAGGGTTGATGCCTCCCTCGGATGGCATGCCATCCGATGGGGTTTTAATTTTTTTCTGCCCGGGGCAGCATGTCGTCAGGTCGTCAACAGGTCGTCAGGCTTGACGACCCGTTTCCGCTGGGATATTCCGCGCATCCTCGTCTACAAGAGGCCAGCAACTGCTGTTTCGCTCATGTACACCTTAGTAGTGGTAAGGTGGGGCAGATTCAAGTATCAAATACAACATCTCCTCCAATAGGTAAATGGTCACTAGGGAAGAAAAGGTTTGGCAAACCCCCGGCCAAGTGGGAATCAGAATCATTAGGAATCCATAGAGTTGAGTGCACAAAAAAACCTCCGGAATCTCTAGAGACAAAAATGTAGCCGACGGTTGCCTTGAACTCCGCAGTGAAGCTTGTAAAGGCAGGCTCAAGGTTCTGTGGCAGGTCGTCCCAATCAGTCGGTGAAGTTAAAGCCATATGGCACATGGATCTCTCTTTGGCCGCCACCGCGTTGAGACTTGCAAGTGGAATGGGCGCATCATTGGCTGTTGAACAACCACCCGCATAGCCCTCGCCTCCCGACCTACAGTCTTCTTCATAACTCTCGTCGTTGGTGCTGCCAGAAAGAAGATACCTATAAACCTGAATTGTGGGACCAAACGAGGGGTATTTGGCATGTATTTTAGTAATTCATAAGAAATAATGTGCTATACGTGGAAGTGCAGAGAGAAGTTGAAACTGCAAACTGCAGGAAAGGTCACAGAAAGTCTTACCGGGTCTCCAGGCTTCGAATTGAAGTCACCACATATGACAACCGGGATATGAATCTGCTCCTTCTTCCCCTCAATGCGCGAGTCATCCTCGTGAAATTCGCCTCCTCTTAACTGAATATCAGCGCTTGGCCACGATGTTCCATGGTGATGGTGATCATAAAGCGTGTCTATATCTGATCTGAATCGCGCCACTTCCTGCAGGAGGTACTGGGCCTGAGCTAGCTTCACATCAGGGCAGTTGGGGTTCCTGCAGAGGTCACAAAGAACACAATGAGATGGCATGAACACCGAGGGTTGACACCGAATACAGTGGGATGGCCCAAGTTAAAAGGTAGAGTGGTTTTACGCATACAAAGGCGGGGTGCAAACAGGTGGATGGGTGCTCGATGGTCGACGACCCGTCTAAATGCCATCACATCAAACATCGCACACTGCCCCACTTGTTAAACGGCACAGGAAGGATCTGGTGGGAACATGCGTTGGGGTTTGGTGTGTAGGAGAGGGAGGGTGGGAGGATGGGGATGGGGAAACGGAGGGAGACAGGCACTGCATTGTACCAGTATATGTGGGATGAGACCACAATGACAATGCGACCTCCATCTGATGCGCCCTGTGCAGAAGATCCCCCAGACGTTTCAGGAGAGTTGGAGGAGTCCGACGGGTTGACTTCTTGAAACGCAGCCACTACAGCAACACAGTCGCGCTTGAAGCGAATCTGAGGATCCGACATGTCGGGAGGCTGGTGATGCTTCTGATGCTGCTGGAGCTGCTCATGGCGATGATGGTCATGATGCTCCTGCCCTTGCTGCTGCCCCTCCTCCTGCTGCTGCTGCTGCTGCTGGTCTGCAGAGTCGTCTTCGCGAGTGACATCTTCTTGATGGTCAGCATGGCTATTCTCGTTGCAGAGGTGATGATCATCCAGCACATGAATGGGGTGACCCGAACCATGGTAATGCTCCATGCGGGGGCTCTCAAGCCGATGTTTTCCCTGCTGCTCATGGTGCTCTTCATCCGCCCTATAAGCAGGGGTTGTATATGCACTGTCTGTTCCTTCATCTTGAGGAACAAGGTCGTTGAAGTTGATTACAAGTGAACGCAAAACTCGAAACCTGAAACGCCAATGAAGGGAACGCATTTGCGAAAGGTAAAAGTGGGAGGGGCAAGGGCGAGTGGTTGAAACTTACAAGTGGTTGGCGTGGTGGCGAGTGGGTGGAGTTAAGGGAGGCAATCTCTGGCATGTCAACAATAACACATGGCTTTTGAGAATTCTCAAAAGTAACACATGGCTTTTGAGAATTCTCAAAAGTAACACATGGCTTTTGAGAATTCTCAAAAGTAACACATGGCCACCCCAGCATGAACACGGTATGCCCGCATGCACATGGCCATGCCTGCATGTACGTACCTTTCAGAGCGGTAGAAGATGCCGCTACCATCAGCATGTGGGCCTGGCCGCTTGGCATACACCACATGCCATCCCTCTAGAGCCATCGGCGTGTGAAGTAAATGCTTGTGCTCCATCTCCTGGGATTGCATGAGGTGGGTGGCAATGAAAAACAAGGAAAAAAAGAGGGGGGATGGGGGTGTTGCGTTGGGCTTTTGAGATGTATTCAAAGTTTTTTTTCAGGAGTCTCACAATGTGAGGAATGTGCGTGTGTCCTTACAATGAACTAGGTAAGGAGAAGAAGTCACGTGCCTTACAAGGAATTGGGGTGGGAGAGAGGGGAGAACATGGAGACGAAAGGGGTTGTAAGCAAATGACAGCAACAGGAGACATATGTCCCGATGGCACCGTGAAAAATTGTTCACTTGAGCATCAAATGAATTCGAAACTGAATGAGTTTAGGAGCAAGAGCCCATGGATGCATGGGGTTTCAAAAGCCTATCATAACGCAAATGAGTCTGGTAGGCTCACCTGAACGCAGATGAAATCAGCAGCAAAGGAGTTGAGGAGAGAGAGGCGGGCATGGATGCGGTAACTCTTTCTGATGGCAGGGAGGAGGGTGGGAGCAGAAATAGGTGAAGGCCGGGCAATCGGTGAGTGGCAGTAAAAAGTGAGTGGCTGGTAAAGATGAGTGATAGGTGAAGGAGTGAAGAAAAGTGGACAGCAAGAAATAAGAGACCAGCTGATTAGAGAGCACTGGAAGTTGGACGATTGGAGAGAAAGACGGAAACATGGAAACGACTTGAGGAGCGAAATGAGGGAAGTGCAGCGAAAATATTAGGCGTACCTGAGAGGAAGGGGGGGGGGAGTGTACCTGAGAGAGAGGGGAGGAGGAGTGTACCTGAGAGAGAGGGGAGGAGGAGTGTACCTGAGAGCTTAGATGGAATTGACGCTGGGGAAGGCCAGCGTCAAGCATCAATTCGGACCGAATTGACGCTGGACGCTGGACGGGGACTTCGACGCTTGACGGTCCCCCCAAAAGTTTTCGGGCAGCCCGAAATCGGAAAAAAAAAATCAACATCGAAGTTCGCGCCGAAAACGCGACTTCAAAATTCACTCGACATTGCACCACACTGAAAACCCACAACACAAAAAACAACCCCCCCCACCCCTTTCAACCGCTCAACAACTACAAAACGCAACCTGCACACACGCATTTAGCACAAGCACAACTCCCGCGACTTCATTATTGGTTTACGACCAGCAGCAAACTCGATTCCTAGCTTAGCGCGCGCGACATTAGGGTTAGCGTTTTTAGTGGAAACTGATCCTACCGCCATGGCTTCCTCCATCCAACCCTAGTACTTCTCATTGTTGGCTGCCCGAAGGTTCAACAACCCTCTTACCTTCCTCCCCCCCCCCCCCCCCGAGACCCCCCCCCCTGGTTTTTTTTTGGGCTGCCCGAAGGTTTTGTTTTGCCTGCCCGCCAGAGCGTCAAAACCACCGTCAAACTCTCGGAGGGTTCCGTCTAGCGTAAAAAACGTTCCGTAAAAAACGCTAGCTCTGTCAATTCCAACTAAGCCTGAGAGAGAGGGGGATGAGGAGTGTACCTGAGAGAGAGGGGGATGAGGAGTGTACCTGAGAGAGAGGGGGATGAGGAGTGTACCTGAGAGAGAGGGGAGGAGAGGTGGGAAACTTCTTGCGCGAGACAGCTGCAAGAATGATCAGAGCGAGGGTGGGTTACAGAGAGGGTGGACACAGAGAGAGTGGGCGCAGAGAGTGTGGGTGTGGAGAGAGTGGGTATGGAGAGAGTGGGTGTGGAGACGGGGAAGAAGTAAACATGCTCGGACATAACACAAAAGCATGGATTTTTATGAGAAAAAGAAGCTTTAGCTATGTGTAAGAGATGCAGATGATTACAATGCACGAGACAAAGCCGCAAGAGCAATCCAACAGGCAAAAGGGGGGGCTGCTGACACACACATGGCTGGGCGAGGACGTTGTAAGAGACCACGCGGATGGCGAACCCTGGACAACCAATGTAGGGTACGTGGGGAATGGGTTGAGAAACGTCAGAAGTGAGGGCTACAGTAAAATAAAATGGGACTCCTGAACCTGGAACAGGGCGAGAGTGGACGACACGACTGAAGCAGGCAGACTCCCAGAGATGCTTGAGTCGACTCAGAAAGCGAAGGTTGAAATTAGAAAAAAGGAAGCGATACAGACATGAGGCTTCAAGGAGCGGGAATACTAACTGTACGGAAGAAGAGACAGCAAGCTGAGAAGAAAACGACACGAGACCCCAACGGGGCAACAGGAAGGTCGAGTATTGAAGTCGTACCATCATGGTGCTGCCGCCCTGAAGTTGCCGTCCGTATTTCACGCTCAGCTTTCTCTTCTTGCTCCGTCAATGCTTCGTTAGGAGCTTCTTCGCTACAGCAGCTAACCTCCACAAAACTTGGTAGGACTGGAGCGGGCTCATCAACCGTGCTGCCCTGTGCCTTCTGTTTCAATGCTGACGCACCTCCTGACGCATCTCCGGTCGAATCCCCTGACATATGGCCTGACGTATCTCCTGACGCATCTACTGAGTCATCTCTTGACGAATTTGCTGACGTAACTGGTGACGTAGCTGGTGAAGTAACTGGTGAAGTAACTACCGACGCATCTCCTGACCTACCTCCTGATGCATCTGCTGACACATTCGTCGACTTAGCTGGCTCACTTCTCGATGCAGCCGAGTCCATCGGTAACGAATGCGCACTACCGTGCAATCTAGTTCCAACCTGGTTCTCTTCCTTTTGTTCCCTACCATCACCACTCATTCTCCGACTCTCGCAAGCACTTGCGACACGAACCCTTCGACCATGCGCTCTGCAGCTTGAATGGAGGAAACCGTTTGGTTTGATGCAACCCAGAAATCTAAATCCTCTACACAAAGTGGAAATCCCTAGAGAAGTCATGGCAACGGCTGAGAGGGAAAGCACTCTCGAGAAATCTGAACCCGGAAAGCTCAAAGAATCGCGGCATGAGTGGATGCTGGGACGGAGCTTTACATGCAAATAATCTGGGCAGTGACATTGAAATGAAAATGGTCATCACTGAAGAACGACGACATCAGACACAAATGCTGGTGCCATCGCAAATTCCAAATACCTCGCGATAGGACTCTTCGTTGAGGTTCCTACAGTTGCTTCCTTTTCAAAGTATGAAACATGTACAAACCACTCTTCGTTTATTCATCCATATTGGGCTCTCTAAAGATTTTTCTCATCCAACAAATAATTATTATGCTCATTATCATCCTTCCAATAAAAACTTGCTGTTCTTTATACCATGATAGCCATAATTTTCATACTTGGGGTGCCGAATGGATAATATAGCATTATCGAATCATTTCACAAAGGGTCAATGTGTACAAGCCTTCCTTTCCTTTCTGGCTTTCTCCTGCTTCTTTGGCAGTTCAGTCTCCTCCCCGCCTGCTAGATCTGGTCGGTGAAAGCAGCTTGCTGTTCTAGGTTGACTAGTATTGGTTGTAGCCTTGCTGGTCAATCAGGTGGCTAGTTTTTTATTAGCCTTATCAGCTATCGCCGTTTCTTCGATTAGGTTCCGACGAGACTGCTCTGGTATTGTTCACCCTCCAGTTTAAGGCGACAGTTCGAAGAGCGGCAGGCAGCTTTTGACTCACCTACCATGATCTCGCAGTTTTTCATCCTCTCTCCCCGCGGCGATTCCATAATCTTTCGAGATTACCGCTGCGATGTGCCGAAAACGAGCCCCGAGATCTTCTTCCGGAAATTCAGGTTCTGGAAAGGCGACAATGAAGCAGCGGAAGAGGCTCCCCCGATCTTCAACCTGGATGGAGTGAATTACCTCTACATTAAGTGCTCTGGCCTGCTATTCGTCGCTACGGCCCGCGGAAATGTTTCGCCGTCTTTCGTCCTGGAGCTCCTGCAGCGGATCGCTCGCGTTGCCAAGGACTACCTCGGTATTCTCAACGAGGAGTCCCTTCGGAAGAACTTCGTCCTCGTTTATGAGCTGCTCGACGAAATGATGGACTTCGGGTATCCGCAGAGCATGTCCACTGAGGCGCTTAAAGCGTTTGTTTTTAACGAATCAGTACCGATCATGGACTCGTCGCCTCTTCCGGGAGGGGTTCCTGGAAGTGGAATGATCGTTCCTCCTGCGCTTGGAGGAGCCGCTGCTTCGCTGTTCATGACTGGCGGTCGGAATCGGGTCCCAGGAGCGGCTATGATGAGATCCGTGGTGGCTCCTGATACAGGCGTGAAGAAGCGGGAGGAGGTGTTTGTTGATGTGATCGAACGGCTGAGCGTGACTTTTAGCCCCAACGGATACATCCTGACCTGTGAGATTGACGGAACCATACAGATGAAGAGTTACCTGACCGCCAATCCTGAAGTTAGGATAGCTCTTAACGAGGACCTCGTTATAGGCCAGAGGAACGCTCCAGCGTCACTGCTGTATGGAGGGGGAGGCGGGATGGGGGAGGATGGGAGCGGAGGATTTGGAATCGTCGTTCTAGATGACTGCAACTTTCACGAGAGCGTTCGGCTGGATACGTTTGACGTGGACCGGACAATGACTCTCGTGCCACCAGATGGGGAGTTCTCTGTCATAAATTACCGCATGACACACGAGTTCAAGCCTCCGTTTCGGGTCTATCCGGTTTTGGAGGAGATTACCCCTTTCAAGGTAGAGCTGTTCATAAAGTTAAAGGCAGAGTTCCCTGCCACGGCGACTGCCAACTCCATTGTTGTCCGTGTGCCGCTACCCAAGAGTGTGATTAAAGTGAGCTGTTATTTGGACCCTGGAGCCGTGGGACAGTCAACCGATTTCAAGGATGCGTCCAAGATTCTGGAGTGGACTATAAAGAAGATGCCTGGTGGTGGGAATGAGCATACATGCCGGGCCAAGATGACCCTGAATCAGGAGCGGGGTTCAGGGAACATGAAGAAGGAAACTGGTCCAATTAGCCTGTCGTTCAATATCCCCATGTACAACGCATCTAGGCTCCAGGTAAGGTATTTGCAGGTGTTGAATAAGGGCAAGGCGTACAATCCATACCGCTGGGTGCGGTATGTCACTCATGCCAATTCATATGTGGTGCGTTTATAATGGATTGAAGGTCAGTGGATGAGATTGGTGGTGCAGCTTCCAACAAGGTTTTGCTCCCTTCCTAAGCTTTTTAGTTCTTACATTTCTAGCATTATTGTTTTGAATATTTAGTGTTCATACAAAATTACATGTTGGCCTGGGTAAGTAGGTACGTATGCTTCCGCGGGATCAGCCTGCTGACATGCTTTCCTTTTTACAGCCAATCAGAATGGTTAAGGCCTACAACATCCACGCCCCCGCCCATTCCCCGACCAGCGTGGCGCGGTCTGAAATGCTCCTCTTGGAAGTGACTTTCGCCAAAACGCACCACGCTATGTATGATTGCAGCACACCAAAGGATACCTTTCTAGCAGGCGTGAGTTTGATTCGTCTGATTTGGTTCGCCATATGATTTCTAGTGTGTAGGGGATGTTTCTACGAGTTCCTGCTTCCAAGCTATTAGCTAGTACGCTTCATTTTAGATGCAGTTGCTCGTGTGAGTCATGGTTTCCGGAGTCTTATCCTTGTCAGGCGTGAGTATTGATTGTCTTGCACGCAACGTCCGATTATTTGCTGGGCAAGCCGATCAGGCACTAGGATGAGCGATTAGCATCAGCAACATTTTATGCACTCGGTCTAAAATAAATTCAGACCTTGTAGTTTTGAATCAGATCAAACTCAGCTCACCGATCAAATATGGGCTGGCCAGGAGCTAGGCATCGATCGTCACAAGAGGAGCTTCTAAGCAGAGTATCTGAAATGACTAACGGGGAAGGCAACATGCTGGGGAATTCTGACTTTGAGCTTTCCGTCCCAGAGAACCTAAACACCATGTCAGCGTCGTTGGCTTCGCGGCTTGCTAAGGTTGTCAAAGAAGCTGCTCTCGAAGCCAAGCTGCACGAGGAACGACTCAAGCCACGGCCTAGCCGGAAAACCCACTGGCTCGAGATATTCCGGGACTATATCTATCCCGGACAACTGATATTGCCAGGCAATAGGTAGATTGCGATCAAACAATAAAGCTTATATCATTAATTCTCCAGAGTCGATTGATGACGCATTCGGTCTTGCATGGCAGGTTCCATTGGTACTGGAGACTAATCGTCATCGTCATGGCACTATACTCCTCTCTTATCACCCCATTCGAGTTCGCTTTTTTCCGACTGAAATTCCCTCCTCTGGGTCTACTAATTATGGACATTGTGTCAAATGTCATATTTCTGGCGGACATTTTCATCACGTTTAGAGTAGCCGTTAAGGATCATCGAACAGGCACTCTGATCGCTGACAGAAGGAGGATTGCAATTAGGTGCGTTAGTTCTGCTTTTGACACTAATTTTCTATCAACGCCCTAATCACTGATGCAGAAATCTCGCAGGTACCTGCAGGCCTGGTTCACTCTTGACTTCCTCTCATGCATTCCATGGGAATACGCATACCAGGTAACATTCTTTCCTGTTCGACAACTCTCGCAGACTTCTGGGATGAGAACCTGTTGGATTTTCACTTGAGAATGCAAGTGAAATGACGGTTCTTTTCTTGCTATTTTCAGGCAAGTGGACACCTCGTGTTCGAGATTCTTTTGTGGCTTCGACTGATTCGTGCTCGGCACTTGAAAGAATTTGCTGACAGGCAAGAACACCAGCCCTTCACACCTTTCCTTCAGTGTCAAAACAGCACATGATGATGACCTTTTTCCTTTTTCTTTTTTTGCAGGTTGGGGAAGGACACGCGGTACCACTACTTTCTGGTTCGCTGCACAGAGATGTTTCTCACAGAATTTTATGTGGTCCACAGTGCTGCATGCATTATGTACTTTCTCGCTCTCACCATGCCTGAAGATCAATCAGGATACACATGGATTGGAAGCCTTCAGCTTGGAGACCAGAGCTACGCTGACTTTCGAGAAATGAACATTTTCCAGCTGTACTGTGTGAGCCTGTATTGGGCTATGGTGACAATGGCGAGTCTCGGTGAGTCCAGGAGCGTTTTCTTGTGCCACCAGAATTCTTCATGTCTTTTTTATCGTATTTTGTGGAATGATAACCCTTACCAATGCTCCCATTTTCAGGTTATGGCGATGTTCATCCTGTCAATCCTCGAGAGATGATTTTCACCATTGCCTTCGTGGTCTGGGACATGTTGTTCACGGCATACCTTATTGCCAACTTCACAGCTCTGGTTGTCAGATACCAGTCAAGATCAGAAATCTTGCGTGAACGACTATCAAATGTTACGAGATATGCCAACAGGTGCTGCTACAGACTCTGTCGCCATCAGTTTGTGCCTGCAGTGTTTGAATCCTGCTAGTACCGTAAGTCTGATGCCCCTTACCTTTCAAACTTTTCATGTGTGCCACCATCAGAAAGCAGATTCCTGCTGGAATGAAGGAGCAGTTGCTATCTCACGTTGTGCTGAAGCAAGAGGCGTTGGAGGAGGACAACAAGCTGGTCAACGAGTTTCCCATCTCCATCCGTGATGGGGTTGCAATGTCCCTGCATGGGAAGGTGCTCGCAGATTCATATCTGTTTCAGGGCTGCTCAAAGGCGTTCATTCAGTTCCTGGTAGGTTGTCTTGACTTGCTACACTTTCCAGAATTGTCATCTTGTTAGACGAGGCTGCTTAAAACTTTGTTGTTTAGTTGTCCACTTCATTGCAGCAGAATCCACTTGCATTCTGTGATTCACCCTCTTTATGCTTGTCGCAGGTTTCACGACTGCGAGTGGAGTATTTTCTTCCTGGGGAGGTGGTGGTGAGTCGGCATGACAACAACCATCAGCTCTATCTGCTCGTGCAAGGAGAAGTGGTGAGATGAACGCACCTGTCGTTTGCCCTACTTTTTTCCGCCCTAGACTGTGCTACCAGATTCAGCATCCTTGTGCTGTTTGATAACCCCTTTACCTGTTTCTCTTCTTCACGCCTCTCCACTTTCACATTTCATTCCGTTTTTGTATGCAACATGTAGGAAGAAGTCCATTTCAGCAGGAATGGAGCTCGAGTGGCCACAGTGTGGAGTCCAGGGGAGATGTTTGGGGAGGCGGGGTTGCTCGCCAGCAAGTTCTCTCCCTTCACTGCACACGTCAAGTCGTTCTGCAAGTTGCTGAGGATCGACGGGCAGGTCTTTTCTGAGGCCATTGCGTTTCATCAGGAGGATGGAGAGAGGATTATCAGCAATTATTTGCAGGTGAGTTAACACGAATCAACTCTGTGATCTTTCTTGATTATTATGACAGTAGTGTACGCATTGGTTCATAGCTTTGGTTTCATGCCGTTGATCCATAATATTGGTTCAGGACAATGAATCTGGACATGCGGTGTTTTCCAAGAGCATGTTATAGTAGGCCGCACTTCATTCCACCCTTACTGTTCCTTCCCTTCTCCATCCCTCCCCCTCCACCCTATCCCTCCCCTCTCAACCCCATAACCCTTCCTGCCATTGCAGAAATTCGGGCAATCAGAATCTGAGCCGCTAGACTTTGGTCAGCCCAGGGCTCATCGACTTACAGACACAGCAGAGGAAGTACGACGGGCAGTGACACAGCGGCAGGCACAGCAGACGCTGAGCGCCATACAGCATGCAGCACGGGGGGACCTGGATCACCTCAAGATGTTGCGAAAGCTTGGAGCAGACTTTTCTAAAGGGGACTTTGACGGCCGGACTGCACTGCACCTGGCCGCTTCCAGGGGTTTCCCGGACATCTGCAGTTTCATTCTGAGAGTGGGAGGTGCTGCCAACAGGAAAGGTGAGCACAGTGTTTGATTTGAAGTAGAGGAATGATTAGCACCAGACCCTGACTGTGCATGGGAGATGGTACAGCTCCTTGCATCTTGATTTCAAAGCTCCTTCATTGTCGCATTGTTTTTCTTTGGAGACCTCTGGAGTAACCTACTGCTGGAAGCCCTGCGAGCAGGCCATATGCAGACAGCCGAGTTGGTGCATCAACTTCTAAGGGCTTAGGGCAGTCAATTTTATCCCTCCCTTATCCCCTCAGACCGGTTTGGTGTGACGCCTCTACTGGAAGCCCTGCGAGCAGGCCACATGCAGACAGCCGAGGTGCTTCGAGAGCACGGCGCCCAGATTCTCCTGGACGACCCGGCAAGCGAGCTGTGCCATGCAGTGAAGCGCGGTATGGTGGAGTACCTGGAGCGCCTCCTCTCCTTCGGCCTGGACCCCAACGAGGCGGATCACGACCTTCGCACGCCCCTGCACGTGGCAGCAGCAGAGGGCTCCGTTGTGCTCGTGCGGCTGCTGCTGGAGCACGGGGCGGATGCGTGGGCACGGGACCGGCTGGGCCACCTTCCGGTGGATGAGGCGTGCCGGAATGGAGCGAGGCCGGTGATTGCGCTGCTCAAGGATGGCATGCGCGTGAAGCTGCCACCGCTGGCGAGTCGGCCACCAGGTACTGTCTTGGAAGAGTCTGAAGCTGAAAGAGATTTAGCTTCGTGTGGGGTGTCAGGCATCGCGTTTGACTTGTTGAGTTTGACATTCCCAGAATTGTCCATCCTGATTCCTTCTTGTTTCTTGTGCATGCTTTTCTGGTCATTTGTCTGTTCAACTCATGAATTCCCTTGATTTGTTCTCCCTTCCAGCTGGACGGGCCTCTCTCACTCGAGGAGTCTCGCAGCGCCGTCGCCACACCCACCACCAGCCCTCATCTTCCAACACAGGCGCCCCCGCCGCTACTGCCACCACTGGCTCTACCACCACTGGCACGACTAAGACTACCACCAGCAACACTGCCACCAGCAACACAGCCAGCACTCCCCGCCACTCCCAGCCCAGCAGGCGGCGCTCCCACAGCGTCGACACCACCTGGTCCGACCAGATCGAATCCGTCCCTGAAGGCAGCAGCTCGGGAGCCGCATCCCCCTCCACCTGCCTGCCTTCCGACCCCCTCCTCCAGCAGCGTGTCATGCACCTGCGGCGCCGGCCCACCAGCTCCGTGCACATCCCCAGTGACCTCCTGGCCGACCTCCTCCCTGGCCCAGTCATTGACGAGTACAGCTCAGAGCACCAGACGGCTTCGCACCAGCCGCTCTTCACCCCTCCTGCGTCGCCCCTCATGCATTCGCTTCCTCCGAAGCTCCATGCTGCTGCTTCCTTGAGCCCGGCGACCTCGTATGATGGCTCTGAGTTGCAGCCTCGCGCGTCCTCAGCTACCTTCTTACTCTCTGAGCCGTATCCCCCTTCCATTCCAGATCCACACGCCACACATGCCGAACACACCGCGCACACTGCACCATACCGCTCTGCCTCCGCTGCTCTCCCCCCTGTTCCACCTGCCCCTGGCATAGTCCCTGCTCCCCACGCACAACGGCGGCCCACCCCCCTCACCATCAACCCTCTAGACAGAAGCTTCAGCCGCTCCTCCACAGCCCCGGATTCATCTCTAGACGAAGTCCGCACCCAACTGATACCGGCCTCACCAGAACCCTCCACTCACTATGCGACCAGCCAGCCCCTGTCAGGACCTTTGGGGAGAGTGGGAGAGCCTATCACTCCCTACCCTCACCGCAACTACGTTCCTGCAGGGTCGTTCTCAGGGTCGTTCAGGGCGTTGCCTCCGCCCCCCACCCCATCTGTGGCTGTGGCCAATCGCCGTGTGACAGTCTTCCCATGCCGACCATGGGACACTGGCCAATCTGGCAAATCACCTGAGGATTCTTCTGGGGAAGTTGAACCTAGTGAGGGAGCTCATGGTAGGCAACCACGTGAATGTTCGATTGATCAGGCAGTGCATTCAGCAGGGGAATCTGCATCGCCTGAACCTGGGAGGGAAGGAGGTGCTGGGAGCAGGGCTGGGGAAGATAAACCATCCATGGGACGACCATATGGGAAGGTGGTGTTGGTACCTCTCTTTATGGTCACCCTGATAGAGCAGCTGAGCACGCTGTTTGGATTCTCTGTGAGAATCCTGGTGAATAAAGATGGTGGGGAGATCACTGACACAGATACGATTCGGGATGGCGATGTCATCTTCGCTCCACCATCCGAACCTGCTCTATCTGGTAAGTTACATGTGCATGCATTGAATATACATGCACATACATGTGCGACATGCATACTCAGTCAAGCTGTACTAATGCTACACAATCACATGCACCAGTTCTGTTTAGAGGTTTTCTCTCACTGTGGATTTGCTTTGCTGTGCCTCTCTGTGCTCTTCTGTGGCAGATCCCCTTGCGTGCCAATCCTGCAGATGTCGAAAAGTACCAGCACCAGGTGATTCCAATCGATAGCCCCACGTGTATCATCCATATGGTACTTGCGCCTGGCATGCAAATGCGATGCTAGCGTACAGCCCGAACTTGCTTACATGTGCTCGGTAACTTGTATTAAAGTTCCTGTGTACATCAAATTCATTGATTATCTAACAGATACGTGCTCCCATGCAGGTAACTAGCTAGCAGGGCATGCCCGGAGGGCCTCTGCAACTATATTCTACCCTCAAATAGGAAAATCAGACACTGGAAGTTTTGAGCACATCCCTTCAGCACTCCAAGTACTAGACTTGTCACTAAGGAACTGGCCTGAGCCTTGCTCAAAACATCTACGGAAGTTGTATGTACAACAAATTTCCAACGTTGCACAAAAGAGGACACAATATACTGATGGTGAGTCTCTACTATTGATGCACCCACGGAAGGGGAAAGACACTGCAGCTCCAGCAGTCAAGTGTCCAAACTGCGTTTATTGCGCTTCCTTCACTGCAAACCCCACAACAATGCTTGAGAACGGTGTTCCTTGCACATGCGAGAGGCAAAAGCACCAGGAGCAACAGCAATTCCGCACCAGCTAAACCCCATAATCCCCCATAATCCAGCACAGCCCACCTTCGTCACTAAACAACCTCAAAACGCTCCGAGCAGCCCCAGCACACCCCAGCCTTCGTCCCAGCCCGAGCTCGGCTTCTCCCCACACCGCATGCCTCCGAAACCGCTCCTGCTAAATCCCACCTCCCCTGCACCCAACCTCCCAGCACATGCAGGCACAGAATCGCGGAAACTAGCCTCGGAAGAGCTCTCCCCTGCAGCCACTGGCCTCTCCTCCGCTACCCCTCGGCACACCTGGAGCCCTCCACACGTTTGGAAATTGTTTAGATTCTCACAGCTCGCCACGTCACCTTCCCGTGCTGCTGCTTTCAGCGGGTCTGCTCCCATCCGACTGCCCCTCGTCGCCGTATCTGCTGCAGGGACGTTCGCCAGGTTCGCCATCGGAACCCGAAGCTGCGAGGGAGCATTGGAACCGGCGGGCCGTGCTGCAGCAGCCGAGACCTCGTGTGATGATGTTAACGATGCACGCGCCTCACCCTCCCATGGGACCCCTGCATTTTCCTTCGACTGATCACCTGCCTTCACGGGGTGCGCGTCGGGATATGCGCTCGTCGATACCACCGCCGCTGCAGTCGCAGCCGACCGATCCACCGTCCGTTCCTCCGCCTCGCGCAACAGACGCGCGCAGTGTGCGCTGCCCACTCGCTCCGCGTAATCCCGCGGAGTCCGCCCTTCCGCGTCCGCCGCCCCGCACAGCGCGCCGTGGCCCATCAGGAGCTGCACCATCTCCGGATTCACCTGCTCCGCCGCCAGATGGAGCGGCGTTACTAGCCGTTGATCTTCCGCGTTCACCAACGCGCCACGGTTGATCATCACGCGGGCAAGGGAAACGTTTCCCGACGCTGCGGCGTAGTGAAGGACGGTGCGGCCGTACTTATCGCCGGCTTTTAGCGAGCGCGGGGGAGTGCTGATAAGGAGGATCTTGGCGATGTCTTCGAGGCCTACGGCGACAGCCCAGTGCAGAGGGGTGCGATCGATCTTGTCGCGCGCCGTTACGCGCGCGCCGCGATCGATGAATCTACGGACCGCCAGGATACGACCGGAGAGAACGGCGGCGTGAAGCTCGGTGGCGTAGGGACTGGCTGAGACGCCCATCGTACTGTCTGTCTGGCTGGGCTTCAGGAGTGTGGAATCGAGAATTTGACTAAAGAGAAAAACAAGTACTACCAAGAAAACGATGCAAGCGTTTTCCAAGGCGTGGAGGGAAGAAGAAGTTTCTGAAAAGGAGCAGTCTGGAAGAACTATACAGCTCCGTCGAGGTCTAAGGAGGCAAGTCCAGTGAATTCCAACCAGGCAGTGGTATGTATGTTGCTTCTTGTGGTGTCAACGAGTGAGCGACTCTCAGTAAGCAGTGATCGTAACTCACAAGTTGATGCAATTATTGGACATGACGAGTGTCCAGCAAGCGAAGGAAAGCATAAGGAATCCACTCCTACACGCAAATGGCACTAAGAAGGAGGCGTTCCCACGGTTTGGACAAGTGTGAGTCGGACCACGCGGCTTGCAATTTTCCAATGTTGTAAAAATTGAATGGTCGCGACTCCAGGTCTGGACACCATTGTGCAAAGAATCTGGGTCGTAAGATCCATCATGGTTACCCAATCGGACGTCTAACGACGACATCCGCAAACCACGGTGTGAAATGCACTAAAAGGGCAGGGTAACGAATCACTTTTGGGGCGAAAGCGTTTTAAAAATCGAGAAGAAACCCTCTCCCCGTGCAGAAACCAAAGTCAACTCCACGCTCGAACAAGCAGAACTACTTGAGAAAATACACCTGAAAATTAATGCTGGACCTCGCTAGGGTTGGCGAAACTTTGTCTTGCTCTGTAATTGGAGGCAAGATTGTCGCCGAAATTACGAATTCTGGGCATACGACACTGTGGTGTCCAAAGTAGGGAAGTGTCCCACCATGGACACCATCCCGTCTATTTACGAGCCGCGTGGGCAGACTCATGTCTTGTCCAAACCGTGGGAGCGCCATCTAACCTGGCAGGCGTATGGAGAAACGGGGAGGAGTGTGCAAGGGGAAAAGTGGGGTTCTGGATTGCGTGAAGAAAAGGGAGCTTGCAAGTGAGCGGTGAGACAGGGGGGGAGGGGGGCCGCTGTTGCGAGGGAGCCGAGGCGGATGTGAAGAGAAGGAGCGGCGGATGGACAAACACCAGAGACGCGTTTCGGCGCGTTGGAGGAATGGACGGTTTCGATTGAGGCGTTTCGGTGAGCTGGATGTAGGATCGGGTAAAAAAAAATCCACGACCGCGCAAATAATTGAGGTTGGGGGAAACTGTGGGTGCAAAAATGCGCAGCCGCAAACAAAAACTATTCCTGGGGGGAAGCTCGGGTGGAACGGGAAGGCCGGTTGCTCTGTTTGCGATTGGTTGGCGAAGCGCTCATCGAGTCTGTCTGACGCCACCTGTGGCCAGACCACCACCACCACCCTTGCAGCGCAATTTCGTTACCAAAGCGAGTCTCGTAGCGCCTTCGACTTGTTCTTTGAAGTCTGCGATCAGTTGGTAACAAGGGAATGGTCATTACACCGCGACGAACGGCTGCATTTCATGCACTGCCCCCAAATGACGCAAGCAGGAGGTCAGGTGACGTGGACTTTTCTGATCCGCGATGGTGCAGTCCGCATCACCCAGATTAGTGCATTTAGCCAACCGGGACGCTATAATTCTGTAAGTATTCTACCCAGATTAGTGCGCTTGTCCCGTGTAACACAAGAGGTTACTCCAACAGGCTAATCTCGTTCGCAACGTTCTGACATCGTCAGTGCCGATCCAATCTGCTTGTCACACAACACAAAACCCCGCTATACCCTGTCAGACCCTGATAAAACCCTTCGCCCTGATTGTTCAATGCACCTCCCACACAACCTTGACCGAGTCTTCCCTTTGAGCGAGGCACATTTCACGGGTTTATGGTCTGGGTTTCGTTGCCGCCTCACAAAAACACCCAGACATCGAGCAGAAATAATTTAGTTCTGCTGAGCTTCGCAATTTGCGCCTCGGCTCCTCCTTGGTTGTTCCTCGGCTAGGCGAGGCGCTATCACCCGTACTCCCGTCTTGCTTGTGCTGTAGTCGCCGCGCGTTACCGTCGATCTTAGAAGCCCGCATGGAGCAACCAGAGCCTAAAGCCGAGGCTGTTGCCATGGACACGTCGGCTCCCGGAAATCAAGGAAATCCCGCTTCTCAACCAGCAAACCCTCCGTCCGGATCGACGGCTGCCGCTGCAGCTGCTCCCGCAAAACCCGCCGCAGAAGCCGCCGCTACAGCCGGTGCCGCGGCTACAGCTGCTCCCGCAGCAGTCCAAGTAGTGCCGCCTAAGGGCTACGTGCCATACGTTCTTAAATACACGCTAAACGGGCACAAGAAGGCTATTTCCAGCGTCAAGTTTTCGCCCGACGGAAAATGGTTAGCCAGCTCGTCGGCCGACAAAACCGTCAGGATTTGGCACGCAGCTGACGGCAAGCCGTCAGACCCGCCGCTCGTGGCGCACACGGAGGGAATAAGCGATATCGCATGGTCGTCCGATTCGCGTTACATCTGCTCCGCATCGGACGATCACACGCTGCGGATATGGGACGTTACAGGAGGGCAGGCGGCTTCTAGCGGGGATGCTAATAGCGGAGCCGCGCCGACCACGCGTCCGTGCGTGCAGATCCTAAAGGGGCATACTAACTACGTCTTTTGTTGTAACTTCAACCCGCAATCCAACCTCATAGTTTCCGGCGCGTTTGACGAGACGGTTCGGCTGTGGGACGTGAAAACGGGCAAGTGCGTGAAAGTTTTGCCTGCCCACTCGGACCCTGTAACGGCGGTTCATTTCAACCGCGACGGGTCGCTGGTGGTGTCGAGCTCGTACGACGGGCTTTGTCGTATCTGGGACACGCAGACAGGGCATTGCCTGAAAACCCTAATTGACGACGACAACCCTCCCGTGTCGTTCGTCAAATTCTCGCCCAACGGAAAGTTCATTCTCGCAGGCACACTCGATAACACTCTGGTGAGACTTCGCGCCGTCCCCCCCCTCTTCCGCTTCTTCCCCCCATCCCCCCATCCGCCTTCCGCTTCTTTCCCCCATCCCTCTCCCCCCCCCTTCCCCTTGTTTGTCCAGTCATGTTTTCCAACTCTGCACATATTCCTCTCCGCCTCCAACCTCCCCACCTCTCCCCATCCTTCCCCCGTCCTCCCCCTTCCTCCTTTCCTCCTTCCGCCCCTTTTTCCTTCTCCCTTCCGCTCTCCTTCTGCCAGCGTCTGTGGAACTACGCAACTGGCAAGTGTCTCAAGACCTACACTGGGCACGTGAACAAGAAATACTGCATCTTCTCAACCTTCCCTCCCCTACCCCTTCCCGCTCCCCCTCTCCCGCTTCCCCTTTTCCTTTTTCCCCCCTTCTCCCGATTAACCAGCGGTTGTGGAATTATGCGACAGGCAAGTGTCTCAAGACCTACACAGGGCACGTGAACAAGAAATACTGCATCTTCTCAACCTTCTCGGTAACCAACGGGAAATACATAGTGAGTGGGTCAGAGGACAATAGCGTGTATCTGTGGGACCTACAAGCGCGTACAGTGGTGCAGAAGCTTTCAGGGCACACTGATATTGTTCTCACTGTGGCCTGTCATCCTAGCGAGAATATGATCGCATCTGGAGGGTTGGATCAAGATCGGACGGTCAGGATTTGGGTGCAGGAGAGCACTGGGCCCGCGGCAGGAGGGAAAGGGTGAGGGGTGGGGATCGGTGGAGATGAGTTAAGGGAAGTGGTTGATTGGGTGGTTGTGGGTTTGGTTTTGGGGTACGGATGTGATTTGCTATGGTGCGGGATCAGGATGAAGGATGTTCGTGATTGTGAAAGTGAAATTGGAATTTTGAACGATTGTAGTTACATACACACATAGAGAGAAGGCAGGTTGGGTTTTACCTGTTGGTTGGTTAGTGGGTTGACCTGCTGTGCTGTTCTCCCGTAATCTCTCGGATATAAGTCCCTAGGGTATAGTATATACCTGGTAGTAGGATAGGACTGGGTTGGCATGAGACAGCAGGAAATATTGTGGTAGTGTGCATCATGTGACCCTCATTTTGGCACGTGGAAATGCTAACCTAACAGGATTGATTGATTAACCAAATCATGTCCACTGTACTGTACTAGCTTCACCTCCCTTGGGATGTACGGTATCACCTTTCATTAAATCAATTCATCCCTCCTCTGATGCTGAGAAACCACTCTTCTACTTCCTACCGGTACATGCCAGCACAACTCACTGCTAAATCCCCGGCACAAACCGGAGCGGCGAACTCAAATCCATGCTAGCTCATGCAGGAACCTGAGGGCAGTTTTCAAACCCAAGTACGGTACCAGTAATGTCCTCGTGTCCTCATGTCCGCATGGTACATCACCTCATCTGACTTGCCAATCAACCCTGCAATGGGTCAGCTCATAACTACCTCCTCACACTACAACTCAGCTCCTTAACAGCAAGGTCCTTATCACAGTTCTGACCAGCTGCTTATCAGATTAGCTGGTCACGGTCCTCCTACCCCTCCTCTTCCTCAAACCCCTCCTCCATCTCAGCTGTAGCAGCAATATCTGCTTCACGCCGCTCCTCTCTCAGAATCCTCGGAGTAATCGCTATCCGGTCGAAGTTATGCAGCACCCACTGCCCAAACCCGGGGGAGTAAGCCAGCTCCTGCAGGGCCGCCTGGGTGCACTCGTGGGAGATGGCTGCTGCCTGTGCCGGGGTGAGGTGGCGGCGGTGGGGTGTGCGGTGGAAGGAGGAGGGGCAGACCGCGCGGGCGAGCGGGGAGGAGGGGTGTGGAGTGCGTGGTGTGCCTGTGGGGGGGAAGGAAGAGGAGAGGACACGAGAGGAGAGAAGGACGAGAGGAAGCGCGTGAGATGGAAGAGAGTCAGGAAGAAGAGAGAGCAAGAGACACACACAACATTGGGAACAAAAAGGGCGTACCTAGTGGTGACTTTCGAGTCGACTCAGAAGAGAGAGCAAGAGACACGCACACAACATTGGGAACAAAAAGGGCGTACCTGGTGGTCCCTGGAAAGGTGTCCCCATGCGCGTATAAGGCGACCCTTCAGCCCCTCTCGACGGTGTCACATACCCCTGCCCTCTTAGCAGCTGAGCTTTTGAGTCACTCAAATCGCACCCAGGCCGTACCTGGTGGCCCCTGGAAAGGCGTTCCCATGCGCGTATAAGGCGACCCATCAACCCCCCTTGAAGGAGTCACATACCCCTGCCCTCCCCCCACTCCTCCCATCGGCCCTTGAGGGGGAGTGCCGTATTGCTGGGGGGGAGAGAACGCACCCCCCATTCTCCCCACCTCCCCTTCCTGCTCTGATGCTTGCTCGCTCTTATGGGCACAAGCACGGGCCAGGAAGGAGGTGGCGGGGGTGGCAGAGGGGGTGGAGGTGGGGGAGAGGAGCGCGAGGGCGCGGGGGGAGAGGAGGTGCAGGAGGAGGGTGGTGGAGAGGGAGAGGAGGAGGAGGGATGAGGCGATGATAGCATCGGCTGAACTCTGTTGGGGTGTGTGGGACAAAGGAGGGAAGGGAGACGGGGATGGAAGGGTGACGGGGAAGGAAGGGAGATGGGGAGGGAAGGGAGACGGGGAGGGAAGGGAGACGGGGAGGGAAGGGGGACGGGGAGGGAAGGGAGACGGGGAGGGAAGGGAGACGGGGAGGGAAGGGAGACGGGGAGGGAAGGGAGACGGGGAGGGAAGGGAGACGGGGAGGGAAGGGAGACGGGGAGGGAAGGGAGACGGGGAGGGAAGGGAGACGGGGAGGGAAGGGAGACAGGGAGGGAAGGAAGACGGGGAGGGAAGGGAGACGGGGAGGGAAGGGAGACGGGGTGGGAAGGGAGACGGGGAGGGAAGGGAGACGGGGAGGGAAGGGAGACGGGGAGGGAAGGGAGACGGGGAGGGAAGGGAGACGGGGAGGGAAGGGAGACGGGGAGGAGGGTGGGGTTTTGGAAAGAGTTGGAGAAGGGAGGAGGGACTGAGGAACGTGTGGGAGGGCACAGGGGTGCAGAAACGATTGCGTAAGATGATAGCAGCGTTGCCACTGTTAGGTGAGTAGGTGAGTAGGTGATGACAGTGGGTGACAGTGGGTGACAGTAGGTGACAGTGGGTTACAGTGGGTGCCTTATCCAACCCCACAGATACTACAGCAAGTAGATTGCATATCTTGCCATGTACCATGATGAGCAAAATGCGTTTATCCAAGGTTCGCAACGTACCATTATAAGCAGTGTAGCTGCGATTATTCTGAGCCCCCATTTAACGAAGGACACTGTAGGGGGGTCAAGCTCTCCCGTGGGGGAGAGAATGAACTTCCGGACCACCCAGAAGCCCAGCGCTGCTCCTATAAGCACCACCAGTACAAGCACAAACACCACCACCTGGGGAAAGGTTGACAAAACACATGGTGTAAAGACGGATAGCAGAAAGCATAAGATGAAACGGATCGGGGGAAGAACAAGAAAGGCATGGCATGGTATGGATGAGAATGAGAAATGGCATGGTTGACCAGGAACGAAATGGGCATGGTTGGCTACCAGTGAGATGAATGAATAACTATCAAGTACCTGACATAATAGACGGGAAAAGTAACAAGATTACAAGGGAATTGACGTAATCACAAGAGGGATGGCATGGTTACCGGAGAGATGACATCATCACCGAGGCCAAGAGGCTCCATGACAGTCTTGACGGCCCCTGTGACGTACGTTATGATCACCCCTATGAACCCCATCTGGTGGGAAGGGGTGGGGAGGAGACGTGTGGGGCCGGGCATCAATTGAGGCTCCATGGCAGTTTTGACTGCTCCCGTGACGTATGTTATGATCACCCCTATGAGCCCCAAGTAGAGGTGGTAGAGAAAATAGAGAGTGAGACGCAAAGAAAGGGAGATAAGGAGGGAGATGGAAGCGAGAAAGGAAAGAGGGTTCGGAAGGGAAACGGACAAGGTGAGGAAAAAGGAAAGGGCAAGGGAAAGGGAAGAAAGGGGAGACAGAGAAGGAGAAGGTTCCGGATCCAAAAGAAAGTGCAGTTTTTGATCAAGAAGGAAAGCCCTATACTTACACTTTCTCGCAGTGGCTCAACTCGACTTCGCACACCATGGCAGAGAAGGTGACAGGAGTGTGGGGCTTGCAGGTGCACTTGAAGATTGGTATTTCGGAGATTTAGGATGTTACTATATACAAGAAACATCTGTTTTTGCTGCGATTACAAAAAGAAGGTGCAGATGTAACAGTAAGAGAGATTTGTGATAGAGGGATTGCTGCGAAAGCCTTCGAGTTACTGTACCTTCTGCAACATCAACGATTTCCTCTCGCCCTCGTGTTTACCACGCATGAAGACGTGAAACACGCACTTTCTGTTCTGATCGAGTAGGTAGAGAAGTAAAGCAATAAAGACTGGAGGAAGGTCCTTGTTGAAGATGAAGAGAAACAGAAAGTGCGCGTTTCACGTCTTCATGCGTGGTAAACACGTGGGCGAGAGGAAATCGTTGGCATTGCAGAACGTACAGTAACTCGGAGGCCTTCGCAGCAATCCCTCTATCACGAATCCCTTTTACTGATACCTCTGCACCTTCTTTTTGTGATCGCAGCAGACACATATGTTTTTTTGTATATCGTAACACCATAAATCCCCAAAATACCTATATTTGAGTGCACCTGCAAGCCCCGCACACCTGTCACCTTCTCTGCCATAGTGTGCGAAGTTGGGTTGAGCCACTGCGAAAAAGTGTAAGTACACGGGCTTTCCTTCTCGATCAAAACCCGTTCGTTCTTTTGAATGCGGAACCTTCTCCTTCTCTGTCTTCCCATTCTTCTCTTTCCCCTTGCCCTTTCCCTTTTCCTCACCCTTTCCTTATCCCTTCCGAACCCCCTCCATTCTCACCTCCATCTCCCTTTCTTTGCGTCTCACTCTCTACTTGCTCTCCTACCTCTTCCACATAACATACGCCTCTAGTGCACATGCCCCGTAAGAAACAGTACAATACCCAAATAAGATGAAAGGCGCTCCGTGGGTGCAACCACGCACGCATGCACCCCATGCCATGCACTACATGCATGCCATAGTACGTACCAGCGAGCCATAGCACGTACCAGCGAGCCATAGCACGTACCAGCGAGCCATAGAGGAGGATCTGAAGGCTGCTCTTGCGACCCAGGGGCAGCAACCGCATGACCTGATGGGATGGGTAATGGGGCGGGTGGTGGCAGGGATGATGGGGCGGACGGATTTTAATGTTGTGCTGCTCATGGTCATTGTCATTCCCCTCACACCTAATAGAGAATGACGATGACCACGAGCAGCACACCCAGCGTCATGCCCCCTCCATAGTACATGGAAAACCACCATATATCTCTCAGATGGTGCCCCCCCCACACACATAACCTTGGGCAGGATGACCCGTTTCACACAGCACAATCGCCAAACACCTGGTAACGAATCACAATGACCACAAGCAGCACGCCCAAGGTCATGCCCCCTCCGTAATAGAAAGCCACCATAACGCTCAGATGGTGACCACACACACACCACGTATGCCACACATGCTACACACACCACACACCTGGTAGAGAATGACGATCACCACAAGCAGCACTCACTCCCAGTGTCGTGCCCCCTCCAGGTAGAATGCCACCGGTGACCACCACCACACGTCCCACACACCGTGCATCAGCATACATGCAACGCAACACACCACATATGCTGCAAGCCACACACCCGGTAGAGAATGACGATCACCACTAGCAGCACTCCCAGCGTCATGCTCCCTCCATAGTAAAATGCCACCATAGCGCTCAGATGGTGACAGCACAGACAACACATCACATATACCACACATGCCCCACATGCCACACACCACACACATGCTACACACCTGGTAGAGAATGACAATCACCACGAGCAGCACGCCCAGCGTCATGCCCCCTCCATAGTAGAAGGCCACCATAGAACTCAGATGGCCCGCCAGCAGCATGAGCAGGAATCCCAGGACAAAGAACACCGCCCGGTGAGGCTCGAGGTCTGACCAAACACAGAAGAAGAGGGGATAGTGAGGCCATACAAAAGGACATTACAACCACAAGTGCCAGGGGATTTGAAATTTCTTTTCTGAAAGAAATAAAGGAAAAAACCACCCGCATAATATCTCGATGCCTTCCTAATCTTTCCTCCTCCTTCCTCCTCCTTCCTCCTCCTTCCTCCTCCTTCCTCCTCCTCTCACCTTCGTCTATTTTGATGCTGACGTCATGATCCCCGACGTCCCCGCCCTCTTGTTTCACATCAATGAACGCGCCCTCGAACGGTGACCGCAGCACCACCCACCGCCCCTTCCTGTCTGCTGTTCGCCAAGCCCCCCTTGGGCAATCACCCAGTGGTTGCGAGGCATTCCTGAAGTTTCGCAGGGGAGGGGAGCATTGGGAATGAGATGCAGTTAGCAGAAGGACAAGGGATTCCTGTCCACTGCTCGCAACGCCCCCCACTGTCAGTCCCTCACTCACCAATGCACGCAGAACTCAAACTTGGGGCCGCTTGCAAAAGCGCCACGTGGCATCCCCGCAGCAGGGATGGTGGCCGTGACTCTGAGCACGTGGAACCCGCGAGACACGCCCCTCAGACGCGGCCGAGCTGGGAGACGCGTGCGAGCAATGCAGACAGGGGTAGTGCCGCCGTCCAACCCTGCTGCTACTGGGTGTGAAACGTCCACGCTGTTGACTCCCAGATGAAGCTCTGATGAGGGTTGGGTGGGGGAGAGGGGAGAGGGGGATGAGCGCGAGATGGGAGGCAAGTGCGAGCGATGCACACAGAGGCAGCACCGTCCACCCCTGATGCTACTGGGTGTGAAACGTCCACGCTGTTGACTCCCAGATGAAGCTCTGATGAGGGTTGGGTGGGGGAGGGGAGGAAGAGTGGGGCCGAGCAGGGAGACGCGCGCGAGAGATGGAGACAGAAGCAGCACCGTCCACCCCTGATGCTACTGGGTGTGAAACCTTCACACTGTTGACACCCAGTTGAAGCTCTAATGAGGGTTGGGTGGGGAAAAGAGATGAATGTGTGGCGAGCTGTAAAGGTGTTACGAGACACGTCGCCTGCTGCTGGTTGGTCACGAACCTCCACACTCTATGTCATGCCAGCTTTTGAGTCGAATCACTCAGAGAATGAGTTTCAAGAGGATTCAATCGACAAACCTCGTGGAGTATAGCCGTTGGAGGCTCCTCGTTCCGTGTGGAAATCGCTGAACGTGTAGCTGTCGCCAGTGGAATGCTCGAATGCGCTGACTGGCGGAGTTCCCGATGTCAGGAGCGCCAGCAGGAACACAGAACACGCCATCCCGATATAGCGACGCCTTACCGACGTGCATCGGATACTAACGCGGATGTTACGAATTTCGAGTGCCATGCGTGATGGCGGGACAGAGAGACTCTGGGATAGAGTTAGTACACAGTTAATAGTCCAGTCCTCAGAACAAGGACACCCTACGGTTTGGATTCAGCTAATACAACGTAACGAACACTAACTTCCAGCCTAGATCCTTCAAGATGAGGCTGATCAGGCAAGTTCCGGCCACCCTTAGTCCTCAACTTTGATGTCAACTGACTTAGTCGTCTAACACGACAACTTGGTTCTATGACGCACTTTCCACGGCACTGAAGACGAGAATGCTCTAATACCCATCATAGTAGGCTCATTCAAACATACATCAAGCAGAACACTCCGTAACTCGGTTTAATCAGTCCACTCATCTGACATCACCTGCATACTTCGTGCCAGAAGACCAACGCAAAGCGTGCGCGAAATCTAAAAACCGGTTACCCATCCAGTCTATTCGTACGCGTGCTGCAACCGAGGTCAACGTCGCAACTATCACTAGCCTAATTGCCCATCTCGAGCCTTCAACTAAGGTCGAATCGCGATAGCGACCTGATCAGAATCGCGAAAAGCTGATCAGAGAGATTTGTATCCCTGAAGGCCAATTCCTGAAGGAAGTTTTGGCGGGAATCACACTGAACGATGGAGCGAGACGATTCGCTTCAAATTGATTCGCTAAGAACAACAAAATTGGACAGCTCTTAAACAAAGAACCGACGTTAAATTTTATAACTATCATTCCCAGATCCATACGGCATATCCCTCCCCACATGTAATCAAGTTCCACTTCCTCGACCAAGAATCACTTGTTCTACCACTCCCTATCCCTCCACCCTCACTCACATCACAACAATCACCTGACTCCAAAACCCCTTCTATTTCATTGGAATCAGGGCTCCACTCTCCATCTCCAATCTTCACACACAGATTCCTCCCAACTATGGCAACATATCTGCTGTCATCTGCTGCCAGAATCTGGATGGAAGAGCTGCAATAAATGCCTGCCCTCCGCCGAGCATCAATCTGCCAGCAATTCAATCGCATGCAATGTGTGTGGGCATCATTGTACGACGTAACAGTGCACAGTAAATACAAGCAAGCCAGATCGAACCAAAAACTCCTCCGAAGCATGAGATGCAGAACGACAGTTCGCCATGCAAGTAACATCCAATCTTAAGAATGGCCCGATCCCATTCGGCTCGCTCACCAGTTGCTGGATTTGATTCTTGAGATCTGGGCCCCAGTCGAAGAAATGGTCGTAGAACACCGATGGGATGCCTGGATGTGTGAGAATGTATGCATAGCCCTGAATGACATAAGGTAAACGGGTCATTTTTTATGTGAGAATGCCAAGTGTGTGTGAAAAGACTCAAAAGCAGCCACGCATGGCGTGGGCCGCAATGTCCACGTGGAGTGAGTGTGCAATGATGAGTGCATGGCGAACTGACAGATGAACTGACAATGATGGCAGCGATACCCAAGCGGTTGGTTTGCCTGGGAAGAATGAGGACAATAAAAAGCTTTTGCAAGGCAATGGGAGGAGAATGAGGGCATGGTGGAAGGAGGGTGTTTGGCTTGCCTGGATGACGGCATGCGAGGGAAATGGCCAGTGAGCCTGCATGGCACGGCCTCATGCACACACGGGGTGAGAGGGAAACACCAAAGTGCAAATCAGTCCTGATCACCATGTACGAATCATAGAACCAAGGATGGAAAGAAGCGAGTCACAAGCCAACAAACAGAGATCTCTTGAGCGTTTGTTGTTATCACCTGAATATATGTTGCCCTCACCTGAGTGGAGCCGGTGTCATGATTATCGACAAATGTGACGGCATGTGAGGGCACCAGGCCCATCACGCCTGGCGGGCGGCCTTCCTTGTCCTTTAGTCGCCACCATTCCTTTCTTTTCACAGCCTCCTGCATAGGAGTGGGAGGCGTAGAGCAGCAGGGGATACGAGAGGCACAGAGTCAAGAGAGCGAGAGGGGTAGAGTGGGGGAACAAGTAAGAAGGGCGGAGTGGTCTTATGAATCTGGAGAAGTTATGACATTTTCAGAAAACAAAACGAGTATGTGAGCTTCAAAAACCCACTCACACTCACTCACGCACTCACCTCACTCGCTTCACTCACTCATTCACTCACTCACTCCCCCACTCACTCACTCACTTAGTCAATCACAGACCTGCAGAATAGCCTTGGTGGTGAAGTCAAAAGCTGTTGCCAGCCTGTCCGCCCCTTCAACCCACTCCACTATGCGCCCTCGGTGCGAATCTGGCTGCACAGGAGCCGGGTGGAGGTGATATTCGGGGTAGGTCAGGAACGACATTGGAGGGCTCAAGAGTTCACACACTTTTCTGGAACGTAAGTATTGGATACTCTTTTGTCTCGTATTACTCCACAGAATATCTCCATTAACACCCTGATACTATCACCCTCTCACCCACCCTGGTCGTAATCAAGGTCGTATTGCGCCCCCACGTAGTTGCGGGTGTCCCAGTACTCACCCACACACAGACATGCACACAGTCTCACAACCTGAAAGTTTCATAATCTCACACTCTCACACTCTCACAATCTGACTCATATTCTCACCCAACCTGGTCGTAATCAAGATCGTATTGAGCCCCGACGTAGTTGCAGGTGTCCCAGTACTCGCCTACACACAGGCGCAGCTGTGCCCCCTGCACATACCCCCTCACATAGGCCGCGCTGTAGCCCTTGGCATAGTCAAAGCGGAACCCTGAGAACCCCACATCGGCCTGTGGGTAGGCATAAGGTGTGGGGCATGTGGCGTGGGGCATGGGCCATGGCCATGGGGGATGGGGCATGGGGCATGGAAGCAAACGGAAAAAGTAGAGTAAAGAATGGGAGCAGAGGGAGCCAGTAGAAACACACACTGAAATGGTGTAAGCAGCCTGCACCTACCTATGCTCAACCCAACCCTGAAGAGCCATGCCACATGTCTCACCTGAAGCCACGTCAGCCATGCTGTGAGATCTCGGCGCACAAACGGTTGAGAGTGGTCGATGTTGGATACGCCCTCAAACACATTGCCACTGCTGGGGTTGCCCTGCCAAGAGGGGGGAAAAGGAAGGAGGAGGGGAGGCAAGGAAGGAGGGCAGGGAAGGGAAAAAGCGTCATGAGAGGGGAAAGTTAAGTAACGCATCCAATGTAGCAGGGACAATGTTGAGTCAACCCCACTTCACCTTCCCCCAACTCACCTCGCCCCAACTCATGTCACCTTGTCGCCAGTGTCACAGGGTGACAGCGCGTCCACTGCCTGCCCGCCCTCCCATAATCAACTGCATGCACCTTATCTGCCACTTCCACCTCACACTACCCCACCACACCTCACCTCGTCCAACCGCACTACACCACGCCTCACCTCACCTCACCTTGCCGCCAGTGTCACAGGTGACAGCACTCTCGTCCCACGGCATGGACGTGCCATCAAACCGAGACCGCTGCCCGCCCTCCCCCAGTCAACTGCATGCACCCACATCTGGCACTTCCACCTCACACTAACCCACCGTACCTCAACTCGTCCAACCACACCGCACCACGCCTCACTACACCTCACCGCACTGCACCTCACCTTGCCGCCAGTGTCACAGGTGACAGCACTCTCGTCCCACGGCATGGACGTGCCATCAAAGCGAGTCCACTGCCCGCCCTCCCCCTGCTGGCTGCCCACCCGGTGGTTTACCACCACGTCTGCTATCACCCTCACACCCCCTGCATTCCCAGCATCACCAGTGGCAGCAGAACCAGTGCCAGCACATCCTGTAGCAGTAGTGACAACAGGCGCACACTCAGCTGCTTGATTCGACCCACTGCCCGGATTCATGTCAGTCACCGCTGCACCACCCGCAGCAGGGGCTGAAGGTGACGAAGCAGCAGCAACAGTAGCACCATTAGCAGCAGACGTTGAGGGTACTGCAGTGTGGGGCTGGGCGGCCCTGAAAGCAGCAATGAGAGCGCGCAGGTCTGCCTCTGAGCCGTATGCTGATGCGAGGTGGTAGAGGTCCTTGGGTAGATAGCCTGGAAGAAGAGAAAGGGGGAAAGAGAGGCAGGGAGAGGAGAGAAGGGAGAGCGCGCAGGTCTGCCTCTGAGCCGTATGCTGATGCGAGGTTGTAGAGGTCCTTGGGTAGATAGCCTGGAAGAAGAGAAAGGGGGAAAGAGAGGCAGGGAGAGGAGAGAAGGGAGAGCACGCAGGTCTGCCTCTGAGCCGTATGCTGATGCGAGGTGGTAGAGGTCCTTGGGTAGATAGCCTGGAAGAAGAGAAAGGGGGAAAGAGAGGCAGGGAGAGGAGAGAAGGGAGAGCGCGCAGGTCTGCCTCTGAGCCGTATGCTGATGCGAGGTGGTAGAGGTCCTTGGGTAGATAGCCTGGAAGAAGAGAAAGGGGGAAAGAGAGGCAGGGAGAGGAGAGAAGGGAGAGCGCGCAGGTCTGCCTCCGAGCCGTATGCTGATGCGAGGTGGTAGAGGTCCTTGGGCAGGTAGCCTGAGCGTGGGGGAGGGAAGGGAAGGAGAGATAAGAAAGGGAGGGGATGAGAGATAATGCGAAAAGACTCAGCACAGTATGCTGATGAGAGGTGGTAGAGGTCCTTGGGTAGGTAGCCTGGGAGGTGGGGGAGAGAGAGGGGAAGGCGGGAGATGGAAAGAGCAAGAGAGGGGAGAGGGGAGGGACAATGAAGAATGACTTTAAGCTGTATGCTGATGAGAGGTGGTAGAGGTCCTTGGGTAGGTAGCCTGGGGAAGGGGAGGGGATGGGAAGAGAGAGATGGAAAGAGAGAGAGCGGCGGAGAGAGAGAGAGAGGCTTAAACTTGGGGCTCACCTTGAGTTGAGGGGCTTACCTTGAGGGGCGAGAGAGGAAGCGGCGGGGGGTTTACCTTGTGGGGCAAGGGACGAAGAGGCGGGGGGCAGCCAGACAGCAGTGAAGCCAGCAGCAGCAATGGCGGGCGCGAGGGATGCTAGGTGCCGCCACCAGCCCTGGGGTTGACCGTGTGACTCCCAGTTAAAGCCCTGGTGGAAGGGAAGGGGAAAGGGAGAAGTGAAGCGTGAGTGAAGCAGGAAGTGTGAAACTAAGAAAGGTACTAGCGCACATGAGAGCATCGAGTATGATATGATGCACATCTCCGATTGCTTACATGTATGGATAACCAAATATGATCAAGCGCGCTCACTCTCAACTCTTGTACGTGTACACCCTGTTGTACCAATAAACCCTCCTTCCTCCTTTCCCAATGGATTGAACACTGTCCTACCTGCAGCACGATCTGGTTACTCCAATCACTAATGGCTTGAGCTGTTGGGCGAGGCAAGGAGGGATAAAAGAGCGGCAGGAGAAAGCAACACGTAATACGATTACCACGCGTACTGCAAAAGAAAATAGGAAAGCAAGGAGGTGGTGGATGACAGGGACCAGAAGGACAAGATGGAACTCGCCCTGTCACCATCACCCACCTCAGCATCCACACAAACAGAACAGGAAAGTCATGGACAGAGGGAATGACGAAGAAATCTGCAACCCTGAGAACGGCTATTGCGGCGTGCAACCCTGAAAAATATGGAGTGAAAAACGCGGAATCTGGAAGCATCTAGCTCGCAAGTTGGCAGCAGGTACCATGGAGACTACAAGATTCTGAATACTTTAATTTGCCTCTTCAAAATTTGGAATCACACGGATCTGGAGCGGTAGCTAGCTCCCTTCATGTCTTCTCGGTTACCTTGCAGCAACTTGAGGAGTTTACCTTCGTCCGAGTCTCCTGGCAGGTCTCTCTTACCCGTCCCCCACCCTCAGAGAATTCTCAAACGTGACACACGCGTGACTCGTCCATTACCTTGCAGCAACTTGAGGAGTTTTTCTTCCGAGTCTCCTGGCAGGTCTCCCTTATCTCTCCCCTCACCCTTCTCCTCATTCCCTTCCTCATCCCCATCACCACTACCTCTCTGCCTAGTATCCCCACGCCCATCACCTCCATCTTTACCCAATTCTCTCCAAACCCCACCCTCGCCTCGTCCCTCCGCCCCTTCCCTCCTTTCCCCTCCCCCCTGCCGTCTCCCCACCTGCTCCCTGCTCTCCGCCCCTCCGGCCACAGTCGGACCAAGCCACCCTTGCCCATCTTTACCAGTCCTTTCGCTCCCACCGGGTTTTTGAGGTGCCTCAAAAGTCGGACCAGGCCATTCTTGCTCATCTGACTCACTCCTTTCGCTCCCATCCGCTTCACTCCCCTCCATCTCACCAGCCCTCACCTCTGTGCTCGGCTCATCCTCCCCTTTAACGCTCTCCCAACCACTCTCCTTAACACGCTCCCCTACACCAACCATCCGAGCTTCCGACCCCTCCTTCCCCTCCTCTGCTCTCTCTACCACCCTCCCTCCGTCAGGTTCCTTGCCTACTGAACCCTCTGGTACATCCCCTGCCATGCCCCTTGCCATGACCCCTGCCATGCCCTTTGGTATTCCCCCATCCCTTGCAGCATCCGCTGCCATCACCCCTCTCTCCATTGATGCGCCTTCCTGTGTGTCTGCACGCTTCCCTGCATGCTCGCCTGCCTCCTCCGCACGCTCCTCTGCACGCCCAAGTGCTGTCTGGGAGAGTCGAGAGTGCAGCAGCAGGAGGAGAGCAGCAGCGCCAGCAGCAGCAGCCACAGAAAGGGTCAGCAGTGCAGGAGATGGGCGATTGAGACCGCTGCTGGTGAGGGAAGGGACTGCGCATGGGAGGGAGGGGTGGAATGGAGAGGCACGGAGGGTAAGGAACGCGACAGAGAACGAACAGAAGCATGAAAGAGGGTTGAATGAGCAACTACATTGGGGAAATGGTCAGTGTTGTTGTTGTTGTTTTTTTTTTTTTTTTTTTGAGAAGGAAATACCGTTAGGAGATCCAACAGAGAAGATCCAGTCGTGCTGCTTCCGAGGCATGGACTGGATGTGCGCGTCCGGGTCGTCCGCACGCTGCTTCTCGTCCCTCTTGGCACCCTCCTTGCCCTCTTCGCCCTCTTCGCCCTCTTCGTGCTCCTCTTCCCTCTCCTCCTCCTTGTCTAGATTCTTTTCCAAAGCAGTCAGGTGTTTTGCTCCTGTTCGTGCGCTCTTTCCCCAAGCCTTTCGCAAGGGATTCCTGTGCGCACAGCAGCGGAAAGGAGGAGCAGATAAGCGCAAAAGGATGAGAACAAACGGGTGAGCGCACAATGAGATGCGTGCAAGCGTCAAGGGACGAGCGTTCCCTGCGAATCAGTTAGCGTCTGAGGTACCAACAAACCTCACATTCGAAACTAGACATCATGACATGGATGAAGTAAAATTGTAGAATTGGAAATATTGCAACTCGTCTTGCAATCCCGGCCATGGAGAGATGCGACGGATGTATACATACTTTCGCGAAGCTCGTCTAGACCTTCCAGGCTCGCTTTTCGCCTTAATGTCTTCGCCGACCTGGTTACTACCACTCGCAGTGCCACCTTTCTGTCGCTTACGCCGCTCAAGCGAACTCGCGAAAACTACTACGCGCCAGGAGCATCTGGTTACCCCATCGCCGTCAACATGTGGAAGCTGTCTGCCGGCGCCGGCAAGTAAGAAAGACTGTCCGGTATATATAAATTTTGCGCCGTCAAATTGTTGACCGAAAAGCCAAGAGCGAGAACTCTGTTTTTTCGGAAGAGACCGAACGTGAGCTGAGCACGGACGCCATGACATTGTGGCTGTAGCATGTTCTAACGGTAACTGCACAGACTCGTCCTCTATGAACACAATTCACTCAGCCATGCCTGTCAAATTCACTGAACAAAGCGGTTCGTTTCGCGCGCTTGAATAGGTCTTGGAAGAAACGTGAACTGTTGAAGCAAGGAAAAGGGAAGACTCGGGAAAATGGTTGAAATTGGCTTGACAGGCGCTGGGATTGCTGAATTCTGGAGTGGGAATCCGCGTTACAACATTGTCAGATTCCTTCGATGGTAAAACATGTTGGGAAAATGTGTCAGTGTGTATCTACTCTACACATTACAGTGTTACTGAGATATGAATTGGCGAGCGAAAAGGTAAATTTGGCACCAAGTTCTAATCTGAAACGAACATCTGACCTGCTCCACCTTCGCTGTCGTTGATCTCCACGGATTCCCAACAGGACCAACGAAACCAACGGCTACTGTTCCTCCGATCTGACAATCTCTCCGTTTACTATCACATCCCTTACTACTTGCTCCGGCCTTTAGAATCCAGGATCTCTGGAGTTTCTCAACGGCCTCCAGGAGGATCTACTGGTTTTCCTCTGGTCACCAGCAGAGACACACTCCGTCAAACCTAGATTTTAGTTTGCAACCATAGATTCGAGATCCTCCTACTCATCCTTTCACTACAGCTCTCCATCGCTTGCCAGTTCTTCCTGTACTTTCTTGCTGAGGAGGATCTTTGCTGAGGACACCTCGTCATGGTGGGCCCAGGAGAGGTAATGTCACGTGTGCTTTTCGTCTTTTCCTTCAGAATATAGGAAAAACGAGCTCAGTCGACGTGATAACAAATCTTCGTGTAAACGCTACATTGTCCTCGACTGGTAAAACTTGGAATTTCTTGGAACATTGAACAGTCATAGTCATTTTGTTTGTGGATCTCACTGTACGCTAGACTATATGCCGCCATTATACTAATCTTACATCTTACATGTTGCTCGCGCAACATCCTCTTTCGAAGATTATTGATTAATTTCCTTGTTCGTTTCCTTCTTAATCCTGATTCCCCACGTATCTTTCCATCATCCTTCATTTCTTTCTCAACCGTCGTCTTTTATTTCCTTCTCCCACAGGGTCAAACGCCACCTGATTCAGGCTTCAACCCCACGCTCCTCGTCATCCTGGTCGTAGTGGGCTTCTTCGTTCTCTTCCTCGTCGGCCACGCTGCCATGTACTTCTACGCACAGAGCGTTCTGCCCCCCAAAAAGAAGAAAGCCGTTTCACAGAGGAAGCTGAAGCGGGAACGGCTCAAGCAGGGGGTTTCAATCCCTGGTGAATGAAGCGGGAAGGTCCTTCACAGCTGTTTTAGCTCACCATACCATAGCGTTGTCTTATGGCATTAGAAGTACTCTTCTTTCTACTTGACATTCTCCTCAGGCCCTACGATATCAGGAATTTTCCCCTGAAATTCCTGATTTTCAGGGATTTTTTGTACCTACCCTGATTTTCCAGTGTTCAGCTTTTTGGGGGACTGATTTATCAGTCTTTAGGGGGAAGATGACTCTGAACTTCTAGGTTTTTCTTTTAAGGGACACTGATTACACTACGTTGTTACGAAATTGACACTAAATGCGATTCTTACACGTTCCGAGTGTAGTTGCCCGGAAGTACAGGGAATCTCAAGTTCCCGTTGTGTCAGCACTGCCTGGCGGTTGTTAGAGGTCCGCTGGAGATCCTCGATTGATTCTAAGGAAGGGTTAGAGGCACGTTGTCTTGGAGGGTTATGGGCACACTAACCCGCTACTTAACAAGCTCTTTTATCCCAATGGTCTAGTGGTTGGGATTATAACAGCGGTGACTACCGTATTCTCCCGGACAAAACACCCCCCCATAATTGTACACCCCCGGGTAGCTTGTGCGGGGTGGGTGTTATGGGGAGCCTCGTTTCTACTATACCCCCCTTTTTGCCTGATTCTCTATAAGACCCGGGGGGGGGGGGGGGGGGGGGGGTGTTATGGGCGGCAAAAATACTGAATTTGCTTACTGTACATTGCATACAGGGTACTTTACAGGTACCGGTACTACAGAAGTAATGTGCCAGCACATAGGCATCGACAATGTCACCTAGACTGCAGAAACATCACCACAAGAGCACCTCACATCCACAATTTCACCTAAAAAAACTCTATACAAAGTGCCTTCTACTCAGAATCGTCTCCTGCATGCCATTCTTCACAGTCTTCCCCGTCAAAGCGGCCAGGGCGCCACCATTCGTCATCGCTGGGCTCTTCTGCCTCCCCGCCTTCCTCAAGCACGCCCCCCTCCTCCTCTGCCGCCGCCGCTTCCGCGTCCTCCTCAGCGGCGTCAGCCTCCTCTGCCGCCGCCTGCAGCACCTCGGCCGGCATGGGGACTTCGGCGTAGAAGGGGTTGACGACGAGCTCGTCGTCAACCAGGTCGTTGACGTCGTCAAGGACTTCCACCTCACCCTTGTCCCGCATGTGGGCAAGGATGAGGCGACTGTTGACAGGCTAGAGTAGTGACATCATCCTAAACGTGCTACGCTTACCGGCAGGGATGGGCACCTTCGGTATGGTCTTGCGCTTGAACACCACGTACGGCGGCAGCTTGAGCCCGCTCGCAGTTACTGCCAGCATGACAGTAACACGCTCCTTTTCATAGCCCGCACTCCGTACGTGAACCGTCCGCGCTCCCTTCATTTCGAGCGTGCGCTCCGCCGGCATCTCCAGGAAAAGCGGGGTTTGGTCCGCGTTCAAGATGAGGTCAAGCGGGTAGTCGTGCAGAGAGCGCATCTGGCGCACAAACTCCCAGAAGGACTCCACCTTGGCCTTGCAATCTGCAAGCAAAGCCACGAGACACATTAGCTCAGTACTGAGATGGCAATCAAGGAGCACGACGGCGCAACACTTACCCGCTGCCAACTTCTGTCCCATCTTCGTCTTCACCCGCCTTGCCAGATGCCAGCGCGCACGGAAACGAGTCGCCCAGCGGAACGATGCGCGCCAGTTGACCCCGGGCATCCGGTGCTTCATGTACTTGGCGCTCCACTTCTGGAGCATGCTGACCGAAACGGCGAGCCCCCTCCCCCTGTGCTTGAGGAACTGGCGGTAGACCGCCCGTTCCATGAAAGGGAACTTGGACTTGCGGCCAGCTCCCATGAGGCGACGACGGCAATTGGAAGAGACCTCCAGCCGCTCCCTCATCTTCTTCCAATCGCGGATCTGGCATGGCTGCACCTTCGCGAGCTTCGCCAGGGCGCGATTCGACAGGTCGGGCTGCGAGTCCTACATCTTCAACCAGTGGAGCTTCTCCTTCGTGGTGATTCCCTTGCGCTGGCGTTTCGTCATGCGATGGCGAGGGGATGGCGGGTCAGCATCGGCGTTGCGCTTCTGCTGTCCCTGCGGGCGGTTCCGCTCCGGGAACGTGGGGACAACCACTCGAGGAAGGGTAGGGCGAGGACGGTCCAAGCTACTGCTCGGTTCATCCCTGGTAGAAGCACTACCGGGAGCATCCGGCTGAGGAAAGATCGGGCGAGGAGACGTCCGTGCGCGTGCATAAGCGCTAGTCTGATTGGTGGAAACAGGCCGCTGCCGCCTATCTACCGTACTGCTAGAATCTGGAGATGAAGCCATGCTTGGGAACTAAGGCAGGTCGATGCCACTCGCCATGGGAGAAATGACTTTAAAGACGATACCCTCGTGCACAGGAAGGAGACGCTCTCACAGCCTGCCGAGCACTTGTCAAAGACGTGCACTGGAACCGCTTGACGAAGAGAAGAGCAAGCTTGGGTGAGGAAGCTTGGACATGACTACCGTACACGGCAGTCAAGGGGTCACAGGTACAGTGACAACACAGCACCGTGCGCGATTCCGGCCTCGTACTGCATGAACCCAAGCTGCGCGAGGTTGGCACTGATGTCAACCAATCAGGTGGCACAATGAGCCCACTGGAATTTGCCATGTGGCAGATTCCAGTGGAGGCCGACGTTATCCTCGTAGACGCGGTTTGGCGGCCCTGATTTTAAAAATAATAACAAGGCCAGACCCCTGTTTTTGTTTCCATTCATTTCTGCTTATAAAAAAATGTGCAATATAATAAGACCCGGGTATTATGTATTTTTTTCCTATGAGGAGACCCCCCCCTTTTTTCCCCTGTATTTTTAGCTATACCCTAGGGTGTTATGTCCGGGAGAATACGGTACCAGACAAATTTGCCTTGTGTTATTCGCTTTGAGGGCTGCTTTGTTGGCGTGCTTGGTCCGATCATTGGCCACTTTTGCAGCATTATGTGGATTGACCAATGACAAGGTTGCAACAGAACGATGCTGGCAGGCTGCGATGCGAGGGTTCTTGGCCCATTGCTTGCACCTGTGGTCCTGTGGCTCGTTATGTCTAAGTCGTGCTGGCAAGCACTGATGCATCCATGCCGCCCAGCCGTGCTACCTGCCATCCAGGCTCCCATCCCATTCTGCTCCATGCTTTCCTTCCATCCGCTTGGGGATTCATCGCGTTCATGCCAAGTGTTATCTTATTTTAAGTTCAATATCAGCCTTAACAAACTTTTTTGAAGGTAACTCAGAATTTTCATGCTTTTTTTTTAGGACATTGACGATTAGGGATTCTACACAGAGGGACCCTGATGCATTAACGTGCCTAAAAGTGAATCATAGGCCCTGATTCTCCTCACCAATTCCCAGCTCCTCACATACCGGTACTGAAATCTCCACTTCTTCTCCGACAACTCTTTTAACGGCAACAACAAAGCATATACCGTAATCCCCTGGATAAAAGTGTCGAGAGTTAAGGGAAAAAGTTGGTGCACTATCGAGAAAGTTGGGTACAAGTAACAAAAAACTATACCCTACATTAGCTACCCCACTAAAGCCTACATTTTATTATGACATAGGCATATAATTTGACACACCCCCATAGGCAAAATGGGGGAGAGTAAGGGGTCACAAGACCAGTCAAGAGAAGCAAAGCAAGCTCAGGGGGGATCACAACGTCACCACACACACTGAGCACAAGCAAAGGGCCACAAGGCCAGTCTACGTGCAGAGGTATATATGCAACAACAATAGTACAGTGATCTCTACTTAGCAGAGCAAGCATGCAGGAATATATATAGATCACAGTATAAGCAAAGTCTACAGCAAGTGAGGAAAAGTGGGCACAAGGCCTAACAAAGTGCAGAAACGCAGATGATCACCAGACGGAAGTGCCTTGGTGAATATATCAGCAGTGTTGGCCCGAGTGGCCACGTGTGCAAGACGAAGCTGACCACGCTGCTGCAAATCTCGAGCCAAGAAGTAACGCAGAGCGATGTGCTTCGTTCTGTGCTCTAGTCTGTGCTCCTGACACAAGGCAATGGCGGCCTTGTTGTCGACGTACAGAACTGGAGGAGAACGAGGCCGCTCTCCCAAGTCGGTGAGCAGGTAGGTGAGCCAGCGTAACTCCTGTGCAGCCATGGCTGTGGCGTAGATCTCAGCCTCACAACTGGAGCTAAGAACTGAAGACGAGCGTGTAGAACGCCAAGAAACTGAACCAGAGCCAAGGCTGAAGGTGTAACCCTGTGACGACCGTTGCGTAGCCTGGTCGTCAACCCAAGAAGCGTCCGAGTGACCAGTGAGGACAACGTCGCCCCGTCCTCCAAGCACGAGCCCCATGCCCGATGTACTGCACAAGTAGCGCAATACCCTCTTAGCAGCATCCATGTGCACCTTTCGGTGCCGACCAGGAGCCACGTAGCGAGCCAGAAGGCCAAGAGGGTACGCAAGGTCAGGACAAGTGCATGTCATCAGGTACATGAGGCAGCCCACTAGCTCTGGGTAAGGACCACTCGGCTCTACGGACTCGTCCGAAGGTGGAGCTGAGAGCGAGTGACCTGTAGCCAGAGGAGTGGCCTGTGCTGAGGACCAGGTGAAGCCGAAGCGCTGAAGGACCTGGTGCACCATGTGTGACTGAGTCAGTGTGATGGTGCGGCGTGCTCTGTCCCGGGTGATCTGCAAGCCAAGGTAGCTGCGCAGTTCACCCAGGTCTGTGCACGTGTGTCTCTTCTGCAGCTCCGACTTCACCAGGGCGAGAGCCTCAGTGTCAGCAGTGGCAAAGACCAAGTCGTCGACGTACACGAGGATGTAGAACGGCGGCAGCGAAGTGTCGGTGCGCAGAAACAGCGACGGGTCAGCAGTCGACGGAGAAAAACCAAGAGCCGCAAGTGTCGTCCTCAGTGTGTCGTGCCACTCACGTGGCGCCTGGCGGAGACCGTAGACCGGCCGCCGGAGGCTCCACTAGGTACCAGGAGGGAACGACCCAGTGAAGCCAGGCGGGCGGCGCAGCCGGATCTCCTCGTGCAGGCTGCCCTGCAAGAAAGCTGTGCTGAAGTCAAGAGAGTGAAGCTCGTAGTCACGCTGAGCGGCAACGTGCAGCAGCACCCGAAGAGTGGTCATCTTCGGGGTGGGGGAGAAGGTCTGGAAGAAGTCAACTCCCTCTCGCTGACTGAAACCTCGAGCAACGTAACAAGCCTTGAAGACAGGCGGAGAACCTGGCGGCCGCTTCACCCTGAAAATCCACATGCCACTGACGATGTTCGCCCCAGGCGGGGGAACCTCGTCGACGTAGGTGCCTGTGGACTTCCAGGAAGCCATCTCTGTGTCCATGGCTGTCTGCCACTGAGAGGAGTAGGGACCCTCTATCGCCTCTGCGTAAGAGCGCGGGTTCGGGATGTCAGGAGCATCCGGGTCTCCCTCAGGGGCAAGCAGCATGGACACGAGATGAGGCGCAGCGGCTGCAAGACACTCAAGGTCCTCCTGCCTGTCCTCAAGGACGTCCGTGCCAAGAGCACACTCACCCCCGACGGACGGAGGACAGACAGACTCAGACGCAGCAACAAGACTAGCGGCGTAGTCTAGACGACAGGCAGCAGCAAAGTCAACAAGCTCAGCGACTAAGGCAGACGCAGCAGTAGACTCAAACGACGGGTCAGTGACAACTGTGGCTAGCAGACGCGTGACAGTAGGGTGAGCAGCACGAGCGCGGTCAGACTCAGGCTCAAGAACGGTAGGCAGAGAAGACGCAGGAGGGGACGGCAGGGGAACACTCTGCGGAGGAGAGGAAGGACGACGGAATACAAGGTGGGTGCCGAGGACAGCCGGCTGACACGAACAAGGAACACGACGACCGGAACGACTAGAACGGACAGGCGAGACAGGACGCGACGCAGGCTCACGACGCTCAGTAAGACCCCCTGTCTGCTCAGTGTAAGGAGAAGGAGCAGGCAGCGGTGAGCCAGGCTGTAACGGAAGACCAGTAGACGAAGGGAGACTAAGAACCTGGCGAAGCACAGAGTCAGACGATGGCTGAGACGACGGAGATGGTGGAGCAAAGAACAGGCGCGGCTGTGCAGTGCTACGAGCACCAGCAGCTCCAGCACCCCTAGCAGTCCCAGCACCTCCAGCAGCTCCAGAACCCTCAGCTCCAGCTCC